GCCAGCTTCCCTCCCAGATTCAGTGCTAATGGATATACCCACAAAAACCTTCACTTTTGGTCAGCATTTGAAGCTCAAGTAGAGCATGGCTTATCCATCAGGGAACTGAGGGATGCTGAAGCTTAACACCCTCAGCTCAGCAGATCACTCCATTGGGCAGAGACACTTCAGAGCCACTTTATCCTGCAGTTCTGCCAGCGCTGGCTCCAATTAGCTCTCTGGCAAGTTACCACTTTCTGTTACATTCTATATATTACTTTTTAACCATTTTTCAGCTATTTCTTAGCACTGCTCCCCTTTCTACACGTAGGCTGCCATAGCTGCAAATATATCCCAATTCCTGTTGCCAAGTGGAAGTGACAACAATAGCCTGATCCTCGCTTGGAAGTGCCTGAGTGCTGCCCCATTACAAATACCATGGATCAAAGCCAGATTTTTACCAAATAGGCTTAAAAAAAGAAGGGCTAACCAGAACCTGATGGTTCTCATTAGACAATAGAAGTGAGGCACCCAACAGACATGGACATACTCTACAGTGGTTATCTTCTCTCAGCTGTATCACAACAAAGATAAGTGCCAGAACTTGCAATTTTCTCCTTCTTGGCAATACACAAAAAAAAAGTAATTTAATAGCAATGTAAATCATGTAAATACAGCTGAAGATTAATTTGCTAATAAAAAATTAAAAAGTCATTCCTGGCTTCTCTGTGGACCATTTGAAGCCCACAAGAGACCAGCACCAAGAAAATGAGAAACCAAATCAGCCACTTCAACTTTCTGAAGCATAAACTGGAAGGAGACAAGATACACAGGCTTTACTCGTTCCACATGGACTGGAACATTCTTTTATTTCCGATTGTTACCTCCTCTGGATCACCTTGCTTTGGTTGATCTCAGTGTGCTTTATAGACAGGAGGAAGCCACTGCTGGCCCCATTTTGCAGACAAGTATCTGAAGCATGGAAAAGGGTCAGCCAAATTCACCAGCACGCCACAAGCAGGGCTACACCCAGAAGCTCATTTCCTTGCTCTCTAGTCAGTGTTCACACTCTACAGGACACAGCTCCTACGGAGTTATTTTCTTTCTGGCAAAGGTGCAAGCTTTTGCTCGCTGCTTCTGAACTTCAAGCTAATGAGGTCCATGTTTCTAAAAAAACCCAAAGCAAATGAGCCAGGAAAGGGAGCACCAGTAATGAATCTACCACAAAACACCTGCAGGGGTGGCAAAGTCGGTGCTGCTGTAAAACAGGTATGAGCAACAGCTAACAGCAGAGTGTGAAGACTTACCACCCAAACCACACAGTGAGAGGCATTGCAAGCTCCATTCGGACTCCCTTCCTCCTGCCCTGCAACAGGAATCAGCCTGATTATCATAATTCAGGCTTGAATTCAAACAGTAACACACTCTTCAAAGAACAGCGTGTACTGGAGGGTGATAGGTAGAGAGGCTGACAGCTCATCACCCCGCATTTCTCCATTGTATGTGGGCTTCTTTTTTAATCACAGACTCCCTGCAGCATCTCCTGCTGTGTGATGCTTTAAGGGTAATTCTGAGACCCAGGGAGATTCTTAACCAATCGTTAATCACCAGTCGGTGCTTTGTATGCTTGGAGGAACTGAGCTCAGCTAAAACTAAGCTGAGGGTAACTGCTCCAATCAGTCACGATCTAACGATTTTCCTCTAAAAAATGTTATGTATGGCTTGGTGCTGCTAACAAGTGCCCAGATCGATAGTTCTGGCAAGAGAAATTGCCTGCTCGAAAAGCAACAAGGGGCACCCAGCAGCAGCAAAAAAGACGGCAGCTGCTATAACATCTGAAATGAGAGAAAAGGAGCGGGATGCAGAACTTCAAGGACAAAGTAAAGCCCTCCTCTCGCCACCTTCCAAGAGAAAGCACCACACACCTTCTTCATTCCGGTACAGAAGCCAAGTTTTGTGAGAAGGAGCTGCTTCATCATCTGCTGTGATCACGGTGGGGGGGTAGATAGTATGTCCTGGTGCTGGAACCAGGCTGTGCCTGGGAGAGCTGTTCTGTTACAGCACCGCATGGAGGCTGTGTTTGCGATGGAACAAACCAAAATGACTGGATAAACCAAAGACAAACCTCTCATTCCCATTTTCTTTTCTTGTGATAGTGAATGGTGGCAGGCAGCAAAGCCAATCCTTGTGTTAAAAGCACCAGAGTAGAGCTCAGGAGAGATGAGCTTGCTTTTTTATCTTCACTGCCAATTTCTTTTGCCAGATTAACCTCTTTAGCCCCAAACTGAGACCTTTCTGGAAACTGGCATCAGGCACAAATTTAGTGCAAGCCAAAGTGTTCCAATTTTCATGGCCACTGCCTTCCCCAGCCTCTGAAGAAGCCTTCTTTAAGAGGCCTTCGAAAAAAAGGCACCAAAGCAATCTGTGATGTTCCCATTTTCAGTTCAGTAAAGCTGGAACTCTTACTCCCACTGCTAGTATCTCCTGTGGCGAATAAGCTCTTAGTTGCTATTTTATGGATGCATGGTACTTGCAGATGAAGTCTCTTTCCTAGTAGAAAGCTGGTATAATACAAATGACCACATCATTCATGAAGCCAGCTCTGAACAGGGTATTTTTCACATCTGCATTAGACCATCCCTCGCCAAGTCCTCTGGGTGGCCAGCAAAGACACAGAGTCCCCAGATTGGAAGAAAGTAGGTATTTTCTTTTCCATGTCTACTCAAAGTAGCAAAGGTCAATTCTGTCCCCTGACTGCATGCTGCTTCTGGGCTGCAGGGCATGGTGTCCAGCATTCACACAGGCAAAACAGCAGGTTCTGGATTGCTGGAGAAAGCTCCTGCGCTATCTCGGGGGTGAGTCAGTGTAAGAGAAGGATGGGAGGCCAGCAGAAGACCCAAGCCATAAAAGCCAAAGCAGAAAGAGCAATTTTAAGAGTTCACTTTAGATTAAGCAATTAGTGGCCTGTGTAAAGTCAAGGCAGATAAAGACCTTGCTTCCAGAGGGCTATTTGACCCATATGAATCAAATTCCAGCAAGCTCTAGCAGACTTCTATCAGTAGGCTGAAGGCAGTGCCTCCTGAGCATCAGACTTCCTGGATGCCACTTGTATGGAGAGAGAATTTAATATTAATGGGGCCGTATCACACAGTTGCACTCAAGTGCCATTATCATTATTAAATGCCATCAGCCTTCACCTAATTTCCACCCATCGACAGGTATGATTCTCAGCTAATCCCAGAAAAGGGAGGAGGCAGCCAGCTTCAGTAAAAACCTACACCACTGCTTTTAACCTTCTTTGTCTAGCAATGTGCTAAATTACCAGGGCTCTGTCATGCTGAAGAACTTACTTGGGAAAGCCAAGGGACCAGATCTTTTCCAACCATCAGGAAAGCAAACAAGCTGTACTGGCTTTTTCTACAGAAAATATTTATTTGCAAGAAATGAAAAGCATAACATACTTCGCTACATATATGTTTAGGCTACAAAAGCAGGTAGTCTGTTCTCCTGTCAAATCAAGCTGATGATTTAAAAAAGGAAAACCATCAATTTCTTTCCACCCAATGGACATGTTTGCAGTGTGAACAACCAGGTAGGACTGTATCCAGACAACAGCACTTGTACAAAAATAGGGAGGCCATTGAACGCAGTACTCAGAGCTAAACAGACTTACAGCAAAAGAACAGAGAGATCTGCAGTCAGAAAAGGTTCCAATACAGTTTACCAGGGAGTATAGGTGGTGCTTTTGCACTAATATCACTCTACTTTTCAGTTAGATAGTTTTAAATGCTTGCACAAACCCATAGTGCATCCACATGAACAGAGGGAAAGGGAAAGATCAGCTGAAATGCCTTAAGGGTACCACAAGGTATTGGTTTGCATGGCCCAAGGCAATGGCTTATGCTCTGGATATGTATTTCTCCTCAAGAAGCTAACACCAGGTAATTTACCCATGGAAGGCCCAGCGCATCTCAGGGAAGCTGTGATGTATGATGATGTACTTACATCACAGTGTGGCTCTCTGAGAGCAAACTGCTTCCCTCACTGGCATCCTACTGCCTGTGGGGCAGTTACGGCAGTAGAACCTTTGGGGAAGGGAGATCTTCAGGTCCTCTCCCAGACAACCAGTTCAACGAAGTGTGCTCCTTGAGGTGTCAGCTCTCAGTGGCCACATTTAAGGCTAACTTAGAATTAAAACAAACCCCAAACATTGAAAGCCATAGTTCTGCAGAATAAAAATTACACCGGAAAACACAATAAAGCTGAAAGTAATTGTTCTTTTGTACCAAGCCAGAGCAGTCCTACAGATAGGCCACATAGTCTATGCACACACACACAAACAACACAACTTTCACTCAACAACTGCTAACACGACAGACTCCAGACAGCAATTTACAGGAAAGCTTTATGGGTGCTGGGTGATGTGGAATGTGAACAGGTTTCAGAGAGAAATTCCTGGACTTTCTGTTGCACCAGGTGGAATGTGCCCCATGTGTTCAGGTAGATGCCTTTGTTTTGCAACACTTACTACATTAAGAAAACAACTCGTGTTTTTACTTTTGTTTTTAATTACTCACCATGCACACCTGCATAGACACACACATGCGTGCACTCGTTCTTGCTAGCTGTACAAATGAAGAAAAGCAAGATGCTATTACATCAGCACCACTGAATTAAAATCTGATACGACAAAGTCAGATACAACCAGAGTTCTGTTAAAAGAAATTGACTACCTGCCTCTGCTTCCCCCTCTTTCCCTTAATTATGGGCTGCTAAAGTTCAATAACGTTTTTACCTGCTGTAAGGGAAATGGCATATACCACAAATGTCAAAAATGCATAAACAGGACTGCATAGTATTAAAGAGCAAGGGGAAGAGCAGAGCTAAAACAAGTGGAGAACTAATGAAAAAGATTATCATTGCTGATTTATGGAATCAAGAACTAGGTTTCCCTGGGACACCAAGTGTCCCTTCACCTGCCATTTCTTTTATCTTTTAAGACAGGTCTACAAATTCAGCTCTCCCATATTTTGTTCCAACTCTTGGAGGAAAGAGTATGGAGATGGGCTTTAGGTCAGAGAAGAGACTACTAATAAAGAATATCCAAACTCCATTTCAGCATCACAAATGAAAACTTCCTGCAAGATGCACTCTTTTCTACATAGGAAGTCAATTAATAAGTATAACTTTGTAGAGCAAGAGAAAGGCCTGACATGAAAACCACAAAATCAAACGGCAATTTCACTCTCTGTCCTGAAGTCTCCAAGGAATGCTGATCCACCTAAGCAATGTAGCGTTAGCTGGGATCACACCCTCAATATATCCCTGAACAACCACTACCACCCTATTGCCCATGAGAAAGTGACAAAATCCTGGTCCATTGATTGAATCCTTGCCTCTTATTTGTAAAGGCCTTAACACATAAGCTGGTTCATTCATCTTTGAAATCCCCAAAGTTGTTTATCCCTAACACTATGGTGCAAAGCAGCAAAACATCATAGCACTACACTACTTAAATAGGCTAGTGTAACTTTTGAAGTTACAAAGTACTGACCTACCATTTCACCTTCAGAATACAAAATGTTCCTTTCCTAATTAGTGACTTGAGAAAGAAATATTTTAGTCACCAGGAGTATAAAAATACTCTGTATACTTCTGTTCTCAAATGTGTGGGTTTTGTACAATGGCCTCTTGGCATTAACTAGAATCTAGAGCCCAAATACTCAGTGGAAATCCCTCCCAGCGTAGCAATTAGTATCATTCATTTATTTGACCTACATTCTAAATGTGTCTAGACAGAACTCACCACCAATAGTTTTGGGGGATGGGAGTGGGGAGGTGGGTTGGTTTCTTTGGCAGAAAAAAAAAAAAAAAAGTTTTTAGATTCATTTTCAGCTCTACATTAAAAAAATTAAGAATACATTTTATATTGTTACATAGAGAGATATGGAAGAGGTCCCCTGACAGTATAAATCAGACCTGCAGCCTCCAAAAGTGGTAAGTAGAAGTGAGCTGCATTGTATCAGCTGGGATCTGGCCTAAGAACCTCAACCTAATCCATTATTAGTCTGTGCTGCTGAAAAATATTGAATGCTACAGATAAAATAAGAGAAACGCAGCAAAGAACTATAAATAGCCTGGGGAAAAAAAAACCCACAACATTATCTACACACTGGTAACAAGGTTAGAACTGTCACATGCCCTCCACTGCATACTTTATACATATATATATATAAAATGCCCTACATTCTATCACAGTCTATCCTCCTAGAAGCAAAGACCCCACAGATCCAGCCATACTTTAAAGCTGTAAGCCAAAAAATAAGTTTACTTTTGTGTATAAAATTGTGCTAATAAGCAGCATAATGTTACAGCCAAAGACTCTAAGGATCAGTTAAAAGTCCTCTACTGGAAACAGAAATTAAATAGGACATAAGCCCTCTGCCTACCCTGTCTATGCACACACATTATTCTACAGCACCAAGTCACTCATCATGGAAAAAGTATACTGTCAGAAGGCTAAGACTTCAATATAGATGAGCTAATTAAAAGGACATACAAGCATCCTCTCTGAATACACCTTACTACTGCTTCCCTCTGCCCTTAGCACGAAGCACATACATCTGCCTCTCCATGTTGTTTGCAGTGTACCAACACTAGTACTTGGATCCCCCCTGGACTGCTGAGGCTGGCAGTGTGATTGCATGAGTCCTGCCTTCTCTGTCCCCCTGCTAAGAACTTAATACAGGCATCAGCTACCTCTGGAAACAGTGAGGTCCTTGTCACGTAACAGCCTGTGGGTAGGTGATGACAGAAGTTTCTTTGGCTCCTAGTATATAGCAGAGGAACCTGTTCTATTAAGGCCCCTGAAGAAAAATGATCACAAACATACCGAAGGAAACATTTTCCTTATTATAAAGAAGTCGTATTTAATATAATAAATCCCCAAACAATGTGTGTGCTAGGTTAAGAGATTCCCCAAAAGAGTACCTAAAAATAACTTAGAGAATAACAAAAATTAAGATTATGGAATTAGATTATCAAACAGGTAAAAAGTAATTGGTATGGCCGTACTGGCTTGGATGAGTTAGTTCAGAGGGAGGCCTGACCCAGGCCATGGCTGGCTTAAAATGCTCCAGATGAAAACATGACTGTCTCCCAGTGAGATTTCAATTGACATGCCCAAATTAAGCAAACAAAAGGGCAAAGATTTAATGGTGACTAATGCACTTTTGGAGAGAGGAGGTTGTTTGGGCTTTGCAGAATCATCTGTTCTTTAAGTATGGAGAAATAATTCAGCTTCAGTTTTAATACACTGGAGTCAGCTGTATCTGCAATGGGAGGTGATCCATTTAACTGGTCGTGGCCATGGGATCAAAGCAGCCTCCTACTTATACAGAGTGAAAACTTCAAGACTAGCAAGAGCAGTGTTGTGCTCAGCAACCTGGGACCTCTTTTGCAGAAGACTTGACCATTCAGCTGCCCTCAGAGGTGGCAAACCATGGGTGATTTGAAGGAAAATAAAAAATAGACTGTTTAAAGAATTTTCTAAGCTATGACCTTGTCCACTTACACTGACCAGCCATACAGTAATGGAAGGGTCAGTCACAGCTTTCTCCTGCCACTTTGCTGACCTCATGTGGCTAACCAATGCAGCCATCCCTTGCGCCAGCCACCACTGTTCATTATTTATGTGAAGTCAGGTTGAACAGGACTTTGAGCAACCTGGTCTAATGGAAGGTGTTACTGCCTGCGGCAGGGGGTTCGAACTGGATGAGCTTTAAAGTCCCTTCAAGCCCAAGCCATTCTATGATTCTAGGCCTTAAATCATTGGAAAAAAAATCATACAAAAAATTGTTGGTGCATACTGGAATGATTCAGAGGACCCACTGGGATCACTGTGAAGTGAAGAGGCTTCAGGGAGGAGACTCAAACACGCCAAGAAGAAAACACTTGCAAAATAAGACTACAACCACAATTCTCCTCTAATTGCCACTAAAGGTAAAATAATCAAAAGGCACTTGCATAGAAGAATAGGGCATTACTTAGAAAGCACACCTGTATACCAAAACTCATTACTAGGTCATGGAGTCAGGCACATATTTCACTGTCACTAATCTGAAACACCCTCTTAAAACAGCACGATGGAGACTGTTCCACAGCCCCCTGCACAATCTTTCCATTCATTTTACTGAGTTTTGAGTCTAGCAGATAGGACACTAAGGGAAGAAAGTCTAAGGAAAATGAAGAACAAGAAAGCAGCTGGTGTGGCAGCTGCTGTAATAAAATACAAATCCAGTATTTTACAAAATAGAATACATGCAGGGGATATCTACTGTACATGGTAAAAAATTACTTGTAAGGCTAGGTTAGTTTTTCCCTTATTTATCATTAGGAACAAAAAATAAAAGAGCTTCAAAATTTTTTTTTTTTTTTTAAATTAGCTTCTTCTGGTAAAATGTCAAGTAGCTATTCTGGCCTGCTGAATTAGGCTTTTCATATTAAATCCATCCTCAGTGGAGTCTGACTGCCCTTCTGTAGTCACCAAACAAAACCCTGCTCAAATCTTGGGGTAGGTTCAACTGCACCACTGCAAGGGTGAATTGCAAGAAGCGCAGCTTGGGCAAAGATGTGACCACAAACTGAGAAGGGAAGAACCCTTAAAGGCAACAGCTACATGGGACAAGGAAGAAAGCAAGCAGGAAGAAGAGTACTGGACCAGGATGGATCTGGATACTGCTCTTGGCATTTCCACTGAACTTGGACCAGTGCCCTCTCATCCCTCTTTTGCCTTGTCTCTTGCCTACACACTCAGGTCCTTAGATCAAAGGCTGTCTTGCTATACAGTTGATACATTATCTACTACATCCAGGTCTCAACTGTGCCTAGCTGGACCTCCCTGTACCCCTATCTTTTTGGCTAAGCAACTAGTCTAAGATCACATTTCTGGAGAAGGATATAAGAGGAAGATAAGAGACAGCTTTATTAGAGGACAACTCGAGTGTGTGGGAAGGGAATGCGTGTTCAGTGATACTTGTGTGTCCAATTTCAGTTTGCCCAGACCACTTGTAGGGTTAGGGAAGCTCAGTTCTCTTCATTGCAACTGCCTGAACAAAATCTTGCAAAGCTAATAAATACTATTTACAACAGTGACAGGAAGATGGCAAGGAAAGGAAACACAGGACGATCTGAGACCAGGTCTACATAAGAAATTCCATCAACATATTTAGAAGCCAATAAATTAAATCCATATGGTCCTCTCAGGAGGCACTTCTGGTTTAAGCCTTACATTGATTTAGGTTGTTGGGAAGGAACTGATTTAAGATAAACAGATTATCCTTAAGCAAACTAAAGGACATCCACCCAAAACATTGCATAAATTTAACAAAACCTGCCTTCTAAACAGATTTAGTTAAAATAGCGTAATTCTCCCACACAGAGTACGACAAGACAGCAACTGATCTTTGCTTAAATTCCATAAGGGTGGAAGCGATAAGGAAACCTACCAAGACTGCTTTTGATCCAGAGAGAAACCCACCTCAGTAAATGATAAAGAAGCTGAAGGAGAGAAGAGAAAGAGCTAGGGGAGGACAATTCAGCAGTATCACTGTCCATCCCCAGTATCAGGGACCTTCCTTGTCCCTTCAGAAGCAGGTTACATACATGCTTCTCAATCCCCATAAAAGACTCAAGTGCTGTAGACCAGTAGGCATGGAGCTGTGGCTAGATTCTGAGCAGCATCATGCTCCTCTTTCTCTCAACTACCTTCTCCCAAAAAAATCTATCACCCACATGCTCCCATCGGGTTTGCATATTTCACTCTTCTAAAGAATGTCTTTGTGCTCAGATTAGGATGTGTGCGTGCATGCGCACATACACACCCACCAGTCACCAGCACGCTGCTGGCTTCAACTGCCATCATCATTCAATCCTGCCCTTGCCGTGTTAGACAGGAAAGGAATAAAAAGCAAATATAGGGACTGTGTGTGAAATGAGAAAGGGAGTTACAAAGACAAGAGATCCCATCTGCAGTCACAGCCTCACCAGTCAAGGCAGAAGTTGAACTCCCTCTCTTTTGTGCTTTGGTTCACTGAGGATGACAAGTCAGGGGGACTTTGGCTGAAAATATGTGGGAAAAAGGGAAGTCAAGAAAAAAGGCCTTTTTTATTTTTAAGCGGTGGCATTGACTCTTCTATCTATTTCAATTATCTTCAGTGTTTCATTTCCTTCTAGTTCGGAGTTGACTCTGCAGGGAACAAAAAAACATAACAAAAAAAGTTAACAGTAATAGTGATTTTTAAAAGCACATATGCTGCCTGAATTGGAGAACGCTGAAAAGGCACCCAGTATTTACCAAGTACTTGTCAGTTGGAATATGGCAATACACTGAATTAGTCACCTTTCTGGCTCTAGGTATCACTTTGACACAAGTACTCAGAAGTTATGCTTGGGGTGATGTGGCTCATCCTAGCCCTCAGAATAGCATGCCTTGAAACAAAATCCTTCACTGTTTGGGGTGCTTGCTACTGCTTGTTCACAGAGGCCAAGGCCAACAGGGCAGTAGCAGGATAAGGAAATGTACAGTGGAAAGAAAATGCACACAAATATTTACATTAGTGAATCTCTATCTTTTCAGAGGCCCCAAAAACTTCAATTTATGCTAAAAAGAAAAAAAATATGAAGGAACTCTGTGTTAAGTAGTTCAGATATCTTTACAGGTCTGTCTCTTTAGACAGTCCTGCAAACTTTCCTCAGTAATGCTTTAGAAAGATCACTGCTGTTAGAAGCTCCAACTCTTCACACCCTAACCTCATAGAAAGCCCAGTGAGTCACAGCCTCACACTTCTACCCAACCGGCAAAAGCTTATTCCTTTAGGAGACACAGAGCTAAGTGCTTAAAGTGGGTAAGCGCAACTAACAGGCTTACAGGGGTTAGGTTTCTGGCAGAAGCACTGAGTTTGGTAGCTGTATTACTACAATACTGTTGCAGTCACTTTTCACAGTATCACAGTAACTTTTAAAATAAGCTCTCCAGATAGAGACCAAACTCTTACTTCATATTTCACAGTGCTCAGCATTGCTGAGCCCCTAGTCTTACTGCTGACCTCCAGGCACAAATGACAGTGATATTGAACACTTGTATGACAAGCAGCCCACCACCTTGTACTCACCTGTGCTGCTGCAGGCCTAGCAGCACTGATTTCTCTAGCCTCGTCTCGTTGGCTATTGTGAACTGCATGATATCATCCTGCTGTGTTCCCGGCATGGCTTCCAGGGACAGCGCTGTGTACTTGGAAGTATCTGCTTGCCTGTCATTGCGATCTGCAAAGGAGATCGGGCTTGATGACTCCTCGAGTTGGTGAGGCTCTTCATAAATTAGCAGACTCCTTGACCTCACTGCATATAAAGACAGGAGGCAAAATCTGATTAGAAACAGGAGCTTAGAGAACAAGCCTGCTCATTTCAGAAAATTCCAGAGCAGAACTAAAGCTGCAAGTTGTCTTCTCTTCATAATGATTTACTTAATTTGACAGCTCAGAAAAGATACCACAGCAATGGTCCAGGTAGGGATCAAAAAGCTCTGAACTATTCACAAAACAAGAACAAAATAAACAATTGCTTTGATAATATATACTGAAAACAACTGGTTCATTACGGATAGGTAATACTAAGAATTTCCCACTCAGTCCTCATACTCTTTGTTGACAATGGCAAAGGAATGCCAGCTGATATCAGCTGCACATTTTAACAGTGTAAATATTTGCTACCAAGTAGAAATCCTGCTACCTTTTGCACGCTACTAGGTTCAGTTCCACAAATAGAAACAAAACTGCTTTACACAGAATTACCAAGCAGGCTAGTGGGCCTTGCCTGTGTTTATGAAGTCTGCTGCCATCAGCACAGCTTGCCAAACTATCCTTCTTTGAAAAACATAGATATGACAAATTAATGAGCAGGAAAGCAAGAGGTGCTTGACGAGGGAGTTAGGGATGGGGGTGGAAAACAAGTGCCAAAACACAACCAAGAAAGAAGCAAAACTAGGATAGTTGTCACTTACCAATGGAGTCTGTGTAGGACTCTGGTGAGGAATGCTGCCTGGGCAAAACCATCTTTGTAGCAGAAGGATATGGCCCATAGCTCTGAGAGAAGCTGCCAAAAACTACTGCAAAGCACAGCACCACCATCTGGCAAAGGGAGGATGCAGAAGAAGTAAGTGCACTAGCTCGTGACCCACATGAGAACATCAAAACCAAAAATTAACACAACATAGATCTGACACTTTTCCAAAACAAATAATTTGAGGCTATTTTCATTACTACATCCAGTGTCTGCTAGCAAAGGTTCATATACAATAACAATTCAGTGTTTTAAAGGGCACATTTCAACACTGGAGTTTGCTTTCAATGTCTGCCACCATTTTGGCCTATCAACTTATTTACTCCCAAAGTTGAAAAGCAGAAACAGCCACCATGTATGTTTTACAGATACTGTCAGGAATTTCCAAGGTTATTCCTGCCACTGGCTTGAGTCTTGCTTAAAAGTGACAGAGAAACTACATGACTAGAAAAGTAACTTCCATCAGTTTATAGCATTAGTATAAATGGAACTTGCTGGCTGAGTGTCAGCAGAGAAGAGAGAAAAGTTTCATTCTAAGAGTTTTCCTGTCCTGACTACTATTACTGAAATAAGACAGAGGCAGATCTACAGCTTTGGTTGTATTTTTATTTGGACAATCAAATCTTCCTTATATTTATTTTTACTGGTATCAAAAGAACCAAGCATCATAGGTCACCCTCGTTTTCATTTTACAACCCTAGACATTTCTAGCATTACAATATTTTAGGAAATCATAAAACAGGTCACTCGGAGCAGCAGTGCTTCTTTCATCACTGCAGCACCTAACCAAAAGCACAGGTTCACTCTCCTCCAGAACCTAATGCCTTCCCACAACTATTAATCTTCATCAGCTAGGAGTCTCCCCTACCTTAAAATTGTCAAGTTACGAAGAGAAGTTTTCCAAACTGAGAATTTTCAAGTGAGGGGCTTTGAAGAAGAAGGGATGTGACTCTGAGCAGTGTAATGAAATTCTCATTCCCCCACAATTCCCAGGTTTAGCAAAACTCACCATAAGACAGGTCCCTGTCTGTGTGCTAGCTGCCTTGTATGAACGGGACACTTTCCCAGCAACCATGGCTTGAAGTCTCTGCAACTGCTGCAGAAGTGTTCTGGAAAGCAAAGACAACAGACAAGCATCACACACATTGGTCTACCTGCTGTTTAAATAGCTTTTTGCTTCACGTTCCACACCTGTGGAATAATACAGCATGTATGATAAAGTATAGATAGTTAAAGCTCTCTCCTGGAAGTAAGTAGCAAGGAATATTTGTATTTTTACAAAGTTTTTACATGTAGTAACACTGGGATTTTCAGAAAGATCTTTTGGCTTTCCCCCAACTGACATCCCTGAACAATCACTACTTTAGCATTATCAGAAAGCTCTTATAAATAAAAACATGTTTTCAGTGTTTCTACAGGAAATTATTCTGGTAAGCATACGAACAACTGAAGCTGCTGTACATGCAAGTGACTAGATGCAGACAACCTGATTCTATGTCATGTACTCAGCAGGAGTTTCGCCATTATTTAGGAAGATTCACAAGCAAGTTTATAACTGTGCTAATTGGTGGCAGAGTACATGGCTACCTCATTTTTCTAAAGACCTGATGTACAGGGGTCTACATACTGGACCATTTTCAAAGGGAAGGTCTTAAAGCCAGGCATAGGCACAGACTCCATTTTTCAAATTCTTTTATAAATAAAGCACTTTATTGCTATTTCCTAAATCCTTCAGGAGCTGACAAAAATCACGGATGCTTCAAGTGGCCACTCTGACTGTGTCTTTCAGAGGTCCCAACCACAATGGCAATTCTCTTGTGGTTGGAATCAACAGTCCCATACCAGGAGGATATTCTTCTCTCTTTCTGGCTGATTTTCTTCTGCTGTATCATCAATTACTACAGTCAGGATATCAGTCATTTAAGTGGGAAATGATCTCAAAGTATGATTGGTATACAGTTTTCACAGCAGTTTTCATTAAAGCTTTTTAACAGATGAGGAGTAACCTAAATGCCTGTCCTCAACAGAAATATAGTACGGTATAGTAGCGATTTGCTGTTTGTTTCCAACTTTACTTTTCACTCCTACTGTAGTCTCACAATCTATTGCAGAGGATAACCCCCATAAAATTCCAGACGACAGCTTTGGAGGCTGTGACGTCAAATGCTAAAGCAAGAGGCAAGGTCAGGATGTCACAGAAAATAGAAGGATTATTTTAAGATCAAACTGGCTAAAAGCTAATTGTAGGACAGACCCAGAGGTGCCTTCACAGCTCAATATATACTGGTCTGCCTATTATAGTTTTTTTTTTATCATCAATGCTCATTGCTAATTAGGGTTTAATGAATTCAAGGACTTCAGGAACACATTCTGAAATGAGCACAAGGCATGCTCACAGCACACATTTATCTGGGCCAGCAGATCCTTCTCAATTTATTAAGGAAGGATGTCTTTCATGCTCTTGAGAGGATGGTTTATTCTGCAACTCAGTATTTAAAAACAGAAAGTGATTAGTCTAATTCAGTCCTTCATTCACTATTAGGGAGACCACAGACAAGAGATAAAAACACTGTCCATCACGTAAATGAGACCATCCTAATTCCCTGCTCTCTTCTGTATCTCTCCCCAGTTCCTTCTATTATCCACTACAAAGCATGGGGTTCACAAAGACTTCAGTACATGGTATATATCATTTTCTGGCACAGAACATGGTGCATACACTATTCACACCATTTGTCACCAGCTATGCTACAGAGCAATGCCTTTTTAACCCCGCAATTTCTGTGCTATTTTAGAAGACTAAATCATGCCCCCATTTCAGGCCTGAGTCATTGGGCTCAACATGGAACAGCTCTGCAGAGTGAGGAGGAAAGAGCACTCCTCCTCCCCAGCTCGGGGGCTGGCAGCAGCCTTGAAATGCTGATCCTTCTTGCCACTTTTTGTGGAGGCGTCAGTGAGAAAACAGCTAATGGCTGGTGAGGAAATGAACAGAGAAGAGGCAATTCTCCTCGTTTTCCTCATCCCTGCCTTTTTGTGTCCAATTTAAAAACCTGCTGGGCACACTGGGCCCAGAAAGCTGATTCCAAAACCCTCACTTTTTGGAAAGCATAATTAGGCACTTATTTTGAGGTGTCCTATACAGAGAGGAAGATTCATCCTCTACCTTATGTACCAACTATCTTCATATAAAATGTCTTTCTCTCCCAAGTCATTTATCTGTTAGAGAGCTACCGTCTTCTCAACAGACAAGGACACTGTGTTGGGAGCTGACAGGCTACAGGTTAATTTTCAAACTGAGGAAGAACCAAGGCAAGAGCAAGAAACGAGTTTGTTTGTTCGTTCAGAGATGATACCAGTTTACCTTGCCACTCCTCGGTGCTTTTATCATCTGTTTGAATTCGGAATGGTGGAAGACTGGATTCTGAGGTCAAAAGGCCTCCTTTCTCATGCAAAAGCTGCCTTCATTGTTACTGGATGGCTGCAAGAATTATTCGAACTAAGACAGGGGAAGAGAGCAGCTCTCTGCTCTGTAGAACAGGGATTTGTGTTAAACTAAGATGCTTCTAAATAGCAGCAGGAAGGCCACTAGTGCTTTTAGTGAAACACACTGCCTATGGCTAAGTTCTACCAGGAGAAAATGCTATCCCAAGGCAACATGTATAAGGGGCTTTGCACCCACTAGGATTATTTTCACTGTGTCTGCCACATTTCTCAGTGATATTCAATTAGAGGGTCACCTCGGTAGGAGGTGTGAACCTACTTTCACGCTTTTCTCTGCCAATGGAAGCACCTCATAGGAAAGCTGTAAAGTGACTGAAGACCCCTGCTCTCCCTTCCACACCCTGCCAGCAAATTCACTCTGCCTGTGATATCTTGTTTTTATGTGCACATTGACATATATTCATCTTCAGAAGAGCCCCTTTCACTGCCAAAGTAAGGAACAAGTCAAGGCTTCTCCTTCGCTTCCAGTGACACTTTGATTAAGGAAAGAAAATTTGTCAGTACAGGACATGGCAACCTGGGACATGACTTCCTTAAGTCAGTGTTTAAAATCCAACATCAGTTGAAACAAACAAAACCACAGACAGACAGCTGCTAGAGGACACCAAACACTGCTTATTTTGATTAAGATTTTTCAGAGAATGCATCTACTTTGTGAGAAACAAAACATAATTTTCATAAGGGGAGAGAAAAATTATTCTGTCTTCCAACTGTACACACAGATTCCTTCTCTGCTGTCCTATTTGTAGGAAAGAGAGCAAATCCCAAAGTAAGGTTTTCACTGAAAGACCAGAATACTTCAAAGCAGACAAAACAAAAAACCACCACAATTTTTCCTTATTTGAATTACAGAAGAAAAAAAAAAAAAATCAGCTATTTTCCATCAAGGATGTTTCAGCATAAAAAACCATGACCCTGCTGCTTTGAAAACCAGAAGTTGCTCCAGGGCTGCCATGCTTCGTCAAGTATTATAAGAGTGGTCTGAAGTGAAGTGCAAGAGATCCCATTGCAACTTAAATCCAGATCTTTCACTCCTTGAAAATAACTTGGTAAAATGACTTTACCAGCCTCAAATAAAGGAACAGCCAAACAAATCAGTGAAGTCTGGCAGTTTTGGTGCGCATAAGCCTTTGGTGGGTCAGATTGATATACAGCTTGATCTTTAGATGACTGTGAGTTGTAACAATAGCTTGAACAGAAGCATGAGAAATGGATGAACATCCCAATTGTATTTATAAAGCCATTGCCTTTAAGGTGCCTGTCAGAGTGGTGATCTAAACAATTTGCTAGAGATTACTCCTGGAACAACTTTAGCAGCTACTTGCATGCACTGTCCATGTGTGACATTCTCACCCATATGCCAATTGGATCCTGTATCTATCATTTCTCCAGGAAAAGCGATCGTCAATATATTTATAAATACAGATTCAACAGAACTGAAAAGCAGAAATACTTCTCATATGTCATACACAGTACCAGATGTTTAAATACTGCCTTTAAGCCCAAATTGCCACGGCTCCCAGCTAGACAACACTGGTGCCAGAGACCTTATTCAACCCCCTAGATCGCTGGCAGTTTCTGCCTTTAGGCCCAGTGCCAAAACATGAGTGGATCAAGCCTTCTTGGTGACTGGGACAAGTCAGTTAAACTCTTGGTGCTAGCTTCTTCTCACACCCTTTGCTTTCTAAGACGGGATGCCCATGTGTTTAGATGCTACTCTGAACCAATAAGAGATTGGCTCAGTTGTGGCTACAAGACATAATAGATATGCATGTAACAATGTGCTTCCTTAGTTTTGAGAAAACTGTCTAGAAAGGAACTTGGATTAGTTTCTTTTAAGGGACTGAGTCACATAAATTAGGAGAGGAAACATATGCTAGTGTTCTAATACTAAAGATGCCAAAAATGCTGCAGTCACCCACTCAAGAGTAATGAGAATTAAAAACTCCCCTGCATCTTGATCTCCAGCCTCCTGCTTTGCCTTTTAAGATGCATGAATGTCAAGGGAGGTGTTTCTGGGTGCAAATTTTTTGACCACACTTGCACCTTTTACAATACATCTTTTCAGAGCCAGGATTTCAGGTTAAGGCAGGCTCTGAGGGAAGATTGTTCTAGATTTTTTCATATTACTGATAACAATGTAGGAACTTTTTACCAGAAATTCTACTGTTTCCATGGTTTGGAGCCAGATTTTGAAATGTAAGCAGGGTTTCCCTGAAGTCTTAGGTATGTACCTGTGAAAACGTGTTCTATATATGGAACAACATGCTCTAAAAAACTGATTGCACATACTGAAAGCAAACTCTGCTCTTCAATCATTTTATGTTTTGGAAATTGCCCCTCAGTTCATCTCAACTCCAGCCAGACTATAAGCACAAGAAACTGACTTACAGTACATACACGTGCATGACTTTTAAGATATGCAGCTATAGCCCCGTTTTCTAACAAGGTAAAAAACCCCAACTTTGCCTTCATCTACTCTTGAATGTATGGACTCTTATTTTCCTGATGCCTTTCTCCCACTATTGCAATTTTTTGCAACAAAATAACAGCTGTAATATTTGTAGATCTACTTTTAGATAATACCTTCAATGACGTCTTAAGTTTTTGCTGCACTGAACACTAAACATTGCAGCTAAAGTCAACTGGGGCTGTGCTTTCAGCATATCAAATAACATACATGTGTGTATGACTGCTTGCTAGGTACTCTGAGAAATAAACATATAAATTTGGGCATGCAAGAATAAATCAATACTGCAAGAATAAATCAATACTGCATAATCACTGCTTTGAACTTTGATTCCTGACTGTACATAGGAGATGAAAGTACCAGTTATAGGATGCTGTGAAGACAAGTTCTGAAATATCTGAACAGTTTCTGGATGCCCCATCAAGCCTCTGTGCAAATACCAATAAGGAAACCAGACGTTTTGAATTCACTGTAGGAAGTGGATAACATACGTTAAACAAGGGCCTGGAACCATTCTCTGAATTACACAGTTGCACAGTTATACACTGAATAAGAGAAGTGGCTCTGGGGTTAACCTGAAAAAAAACAAAACCTGTAAGTGGTATGTTACATAATGCAGGCTTGGTGAAAGCAGGCACTTTCACAAATTTCTCAGTACTTCAATTTGAAGCCTTAACAGATTTTAGAGACAATTTCTACCTAAAGAGCCAAAATAACATCGCCATTAATTACAAGAATTTCTGTGCAGAGGGTCAGGAAGATACGCTTCTCTGCAGGAGATTACAAATCAGTATCAGTCCTATTGCAGAGGCAAGAAAACAATGCAAACCATCCCAACATGCCCTAAGGATGACGAATTTGGAGATAGTATCACTTAGCTAAATATTTGTAGAGTATTTCATGTGAGAGAATTAAGATCATGAAATAATAGAGAAGATGCTAAAGGTCCTGTTCAAAAGGATGATACCAAGAAAGCTGTTCTCATAACCACATCCACAACAACTCAAGAGATTAAAACAGCTGGCCAAATTCAGCTGAACTGGCAAGAACAACTCTAGGCTTCAGCACCTCCTGGGACAGATACTGGGAGATAAAACCCTGCTCTACACCTACAGAACAATTCCTGGTTCTTTTATGTAAATCCCTGGAGGAAGATACAAGCAGCACAGAAATGGCTTGGCTCCCTTCAAACAAGCAGCAGATGTCTTTATGCATGAGCAGTGTGTGGGAGACACTCTCCCAGCAAATTTCAGAGCTGCAGGGTCTGGCTCCATGAAATTAGAGATTGGATCCGGAGATTAGAAACAACACATGCCACTCAATTAGCAATACATTGGCTGCAAGACAAGCTCTAGGGCCATTTTCCATGATCATGGATCTTATCTTCAAAACCCAGCCTCCTCCCACACTTCAGTGCCACCATCATGTTCAGTGGTAATATTCAACCATCATTACAAATGCCTGTAACTAGAAGGTGCTAACAGTGGGCTTTATATAGTACCTACTAATTGGAATTTGCCATCATTAGAGAACACAAGCATAAGCCATGACTGAGGCTTCACTCTTGGCTAACATCCGATTAAAATCTCAGCTATTCAGAATTTTCTGCCACGCGTCCTTTGAGAAAGCTACCACTGAGTTACCTATTTCTTCAGAAATGAAGAAAGGATTTCATTCTCCTCCTCCAACTGAAAGAAGCTCTGGCATGTGAGTTGGTTAGAAGGGTGCGCAATAACTGAAGTAACATTTAGTAGTCCAGAAAGAATTAACGATGACTCTCAAGCTTCAGCACTGTAATTTCTGGAAGTGCCATGTTCCAGGTCAAGCTCTCCGGTAAAAGTATTAAATAAAGACTATTTGGAGAGTAGGGCTGTTGTTTTCTGTTTATTGTGCATCACTAATAATGTTTCCTTGGGCAATGGAAGAAATCTAAAAGGCTTCTCAAATGCAACACAGGCTAGGGAAACACTTGACATCAAAGCCTCTATCACAATAATTGGTCTTCCTCATCCTTCTTTGACATTAACCACATCAGATACGGCTATTGCTCACATTTCAATTGATCTCTTAAATACCACATTTTCACTTTTCACTTTAATATTATGCTCAAGTTTTGGTTTGCAGCCTTCATACCTTACCTATTAGTATTCTCCAGCACTTCAACCTTCTTACGCAGCTCACTATTTTCGTTGGAACAGGTCTCAACTCTGGAGACAGCATCAGGAAAGAAAGAGGAACATAAAATCAGTCATTTATTAAAGAGACTGTAAAGCAAACCAAACTTGCTTTCACAGAGAACTCTATGGTCTTGCCTATATTTAATGAAAAGTGACACCACCAACTTAATCACAATCTTTAATCATACTTCATAGTGTAAAAGACATTGCAAAAGTTATTATTAGCTGTGGAGCACCTGCTTACATTGCTCAACTACATCCAAGTAGGTACAGCTCATTCAGGATGGACTGTTAACTACTTTTTGCCCTTTGAAATAGCAACTGCAAACACCCTGCTCTGGGTTTCTCTTTTGATTGGGCCATGGATAGATACTTTAAAGTCACAGAACATGCTATATTGATGTTGTTAGCTAATATCTAATGCAAAGGTGTTCCTTTGCATTTCATTGCCAAGACAAGGCACCAAGCAATTTGGCAAATACTGCGCTTCTGAAATCAGATCCTCAAACTTCAAGTGTATGGAGGCTAAACAAGCCAGGAGACTAATTCCCAATAGAGTGATCATTTCCACACTGCCCCTGGAAACCCCCTAAACTAAAGGAGATTATCATATAATAAGCCAAATAATACATCTAAGTTAAAATACGGGACTCCTAAAAAGACAAACATGGCCATCTGAAATAGCTTCAAAAAGGAAAAACATAAAGGGAAAAAAGCTTTGACATCTGTATGCATAGGGTGGAATTTCACAAGAGTAACTCTGAGGAAGCAAGATTCAGCTACAAAGAGATAAGAAGAAAAAAAGGAAATTACAACCAGGGTATCACGAAAGACGGGACAAGGAGTTTAACTGATCCATCTGTGAAGACAAATACTAGAGTGCTTGCCTCTTGGAAAAAATATTAATTTGGGATATAAATCACTAAGTAGGGGTTTGGCTTTTCTCGCTAAGGGAAGACGATGGGTCACATGCTGTTTTCCCGAATCCTGCTTATTTTCCCAGGCAGACTTGACTCACCCATTTTCTATTCTTGTCTTCATCTGCACTAGAAGACAGAATATATTCACTCAGAATCCACTTTTCTCTGGACACTGCCCACCCACTAGGCCAACAGGGTTGCATGAGGCAGAAGCTGACAGCAGATGGGTCTTGCCTTATTTAATGTTTAAAGTCTTTGACAGCATACTAGTGATGTGTTGCAGGTAGACACAGTAATGAATGCAGCACCCCAGCACACGTTCAAGCGGAAAACAGAAGGGCCTTTTCTCAGTCATAACCACGAGATGGCAGCTGGCACTCTGAGCAAGAAACAGTCCCAGCATCAACAGCTGGATCCCTTCCCAGTCCAGCAACTAGTGCTATTGGCCTGCTTGAAACAGGAAGGAGGCTGGCTTACTTTTTTTCCAGACTGTCCATGTATTCTTTCTTTTTTCTTCTACTTTCTTGGGCAGAAATCTAAAGAAAAAAGGAAGAAAAATACCAAATATTTGTGTAGAAAAAAAAAGCATCAGAGATGAATTAATAAACTGGTAAAAAGCCCTGATGTTATTAGATTTAAGCCTCTGTGCTGTTCTCATTTCTATTGCTGGCAACCAAAGCACTGACTTGGTCTGTTCCCACACCCTGAAGCTTCTCTCAGTAGTAGGAAAAAGATCGTTCCCTGCTCTCACAGAACCAAACTTTAAAAGTAAATCAGATTCATCTGGAGAGAATATCCTAGGAAAAACACTAAAAGATGATCCCAGGACAATGCCCTGCATCTGAGAAAGTAAAAGCCCATGCATGCACTAGAAAGCAGCTTTGCAGAAAAAAATACCTGGGAGTCAGCAATGCGCCTCTGTAGCAAAGGCAGCTAACTATATCCAGGTCTACATTAACTAGCAGGTTGAGAGAAGTGGTTCTCCCCCTCTGTTCAGTGCTTGCAAGACCACAGTTGAGTACAGTGTAGAGTTTTGTGGCTCTGAAATAAATACTTTGGATGTACAGAAACAAGCTCAGAGGAGGACCACTGCTATAATAAGCATGCTGGAACACATGACATATCAGGAAATGCAGAGAAAGCTGGGTTTGTTCAGATTTAAGAATAGAAGACTAAGAAAGGAATCCTATTGCTGCCTTCAACTGTCCTGCGCAGTAAAAATGATTCAGACTCTTCTTGGAGGTGTACAGCAACATGGCAGGAAGCATTAAATGCAAGCTGCAACCAGGGAAATCCAATTAGATATTATTTGGTTTTATCACAAGACTGGCCTAATATGGGAACAGGTTGCCCAGAGATGCTGGCAAGGGACTCATCAACCTTTCAGACAGTAAAATGAGACTAGATGAGTCCCTGAGCAACCTGCTCTAAGCTAAGCCTGTTTCCAAAGCAAAGAGTTGGACCAAAGGACCTGCAGAGATATCCTCCAATATAAATAGCTCTGATTATATGAAGGCGGTGAATAAAATACACAAGGTAACTTCCAAAAATTTTCAAAACTGTATTACAAGACCAAATTCTAATTCAGTGTGGGTAAATTTACACCTTTATCTGCAAAACCAGTAACAGAATGCATTCACTTTAAAATATGTGATAATTTCAACAAGTGAACTGGCCAGGTTTGAAATAAAATGCTTTCCTCCCTATCAATAGGCTCTTCCCCAAGCTGGAAGAAAGAACAGTTGTATAGGGCATTTCACAGCCTTAGTATCAACCATTTATTTAAAGGTCATGAAATTCAGTGATAAAAGACTAGGGCACTGAAATACACAGTCAGATTTTAAAACATGAAATAGTGGAAAAGAACACCATCATCACCATGGAAAAAATACAGAGGTCTTTGCCTACCATAAGGGTAAGATTGTCCTATTTTTAAAATGGAGCCAAGCAACAGCAACTTGATACCCTGCTTGCTAAATACTCTATTGTTCATGTCCTCAGGTAAATAACTAGACAGAGGCACAGAGTCAGTGACAGACAATGTGATGCATGTGTTTAGGAACAAAGAAAAACACTTTATTAAAAGGCATTGTACAGCATTCAGCAGTACCACAGATCACTGCTGCAGAACTGTTGCAGCATTTTTTTAAATGAAGAGTAAGTTGGAATGACCCAGCAAAGCTTGTCCTTTACCTTGTTCTTTATTTTCCTGCGGATTTTCTTCAGCACCTTCTCCTCTGCTTTTGTCAGGGGCAGTTTGGTAGGGATTGGGTACCCCTCTGCTATCAGTGTCCTCTTCTCCTCCTCAGTCAGGATGAGTGGACCAGTCCCCTGTAATTTCTGCAAGAGGTATAGAAATGAAATGATGTACCAGTAAGTGCACACAGCCCTAGAGGAAAAGGGTGTAAGGGAAGAGAGGCAGCAACTCTTCCCAATTCAGAAAACTCTGCCTGCTAAACCAGCAGCCTCTTGCAATTGCGAATGTGTGGAACTGGAAGACCTTTTAGGTAGCTTCCATTCAGAGACTGAACCTTTGGGGCAGGATTGTTCTCAGCCCAGCTCTCCACACACTAAGGCCAAAAGCAAAACTTCTCTTGGCTCAAACAGGGAAAGAGACCAATGAAATAATCCTTCCCTGAAAATCACCGCTTGCTTTCAAAAGGACAAGAGGACAGATTCAGATCTACCAGGGACAGGTTAACCTAGAAGGGCTGGGCCCTAATGCGAAACACAATCCATGGTGGAACAAACCTAAAAACACTCTTGAACCCTGTCTCAACTTAGAAGGAAGCACGCTCTGTTCTCTGTGGGAACAAAACAGACCAGTGAGCAAGAATTACAGGCTGTGCAGTTTTGACCAGAGATCTACTCCTCTAGAGAACAACAGAAAGTTAGCAAATCCATGGCAAAACCCCCAGTACTGAAAAAAGAGAGGGAGAGATACTGGAAAAAGCCAGCACAACTTACATGTGGTGCAGTCAGCAGAGGTGAATTGGAGAGCGCTGAAGCTGTGCGCGATGTCACTTTAGCCGTGGCTTGTAGCTGGATTGGGCTTGAAGGAGGGAGCGATCTAGCTGGGCTCTGCCCTCCTTCAGAGTCACTGCCATGGCTGCTGGGAGGGGTTGGAGGCAAATGCAGGGGATCCACTGCTAAATGGCAAGAGAGACATATAACACAAGGTTTTGAGGTGCTAATTTCAATTTCCACTAGAGCCACAGCCACCATCCAGTTTCCAAGTCTAGGACTGTCTGCTAAAAAGTGGCAAAAAGCACTAGCAAGAGTGGCATCTTGGAAGATTTTCAGAGCATGTAGGTCTCCCAAGAAGGAATGAAATGCAGCAGCTATCTTTAGGCTCAACAGACAAAACAGGGCTCTGCACATATGCTCTCCAGACATTTCTACCTACACTACAGCTTCTTCTCCAAATGCTTTGGAGGTTTAAGCATATCCCTGTAGTACAGGTCCCTTGTCCCTGGGAAGCTGCATTAACAGCGGGGCTCTGAGCCAGCATACTTTCTCTCCAAAACCAGTAGTCTGTCCTAACTTAGCTGCGGACTGAACCAATTGTCAGCATTTTTCAAGAGCGGGGATCTCATCCAAGGTGTTCTATGAACAGGGAGGAGAGAAACAATCTGCCTCCTAAGGACCTGGTTTGGCATAACTGGAAGGAAGTGATAACCTTGTGACAGCAAGTGTACTAATGGAGCAGGAGCAGCACAGGCAACCAGCACAGGAACCTCTCACACTGTGCTACCCAGGGACATTAAGCTAGCTTCTACTGCACTTGCAGCCAAAAGAACCTGTGCTAGAATTGGCAAGCAAAGTGCTGGTTATCTCCAAATGGGTCTGGACCAAGAGAAATGGGGCAATGTCTCACCCACTCATATTACATGGATAATTTCACAGATGTTCAAACCAGCCATAACTAAGCAATTTTCTTCTCCAAGACAGATTTACAGCAATGAGACTTGGGAGTAGGAAGACACAGGGATGAATTTGCCACCTTCCACTTCTGTTATACTTTGCAAATTGGTGTTGAAAAGATCAAATGGGCAGTGGGGGAAGAATTAAAAAAAACAGTAAAAAAAGAAAAGCTATTTACACATGAGCTCTTTCTGTCTAGCATCTGAACTCTAGTACTTGTCAGAAGATACACACTTGAAAAACAGCAAGGCCCTTAATCCCACAAATTGAGCAATCGAATCTACTCCCTGGGTTGAGATATAGCCTCCCTTTTTTCCACCTGCTACATCACTTGTTTCCCTCCCTAGAACAGTCATACTTACCTACACAAATGAGTTCATTAACAGAATATCAAGCATGAGAAGCAGTCATCAGCTCAAATTTCAGCCCAAATATTTGGTTCCTTCAAACTTTTCTTGTGTTAACAGATTATGTTCCACAAAACTGTGTTCAACTTTCAGGGCAGGGATCATTGTCTCTTTCCTCATTCACAGATTAGTGCAAAGGGATCCTAGTAATTCTTAAAAACTCTACTAAAATTAATATGCTACAAACAGATGCACCTAACTTTAAATTTCCCATAAACTCACATCCTTGATATTGTATCAGAGGTTAAAGCAGTAGCATTTCCACTCTTCATGTTTTCTAAGCCCTAGTTAAGTCCCCTCAAATTGATTTGCAGCCTAAATAAGTAAGGATAAAGCCTAATTAAGCCTAAATAATTTAAGGAGTCAAGCTCCCTCCACAAGAAAAACACATAAATGGGTCAGAAAGAATCTGGCTCTTCAGCAGCCTGAGTTGAATCCCTAGAAGGCAACAGCTTCAGCCTAAAGATTAACATGGCAAACGAGGAAGCCAAATATTTAATCAGGCTAAAGTACATTTATTATGCATTCTGGTCATCTCCCACTACATTTCAGTTGGTAAACTAACAGACCTTCCTTAGAAGAGAGATTCAAGAACTGATCCACTTCATGGGGCTCCAATTTTATCTCTGGAAGAACTTTCTGGCTCAGTGGTTTCATCTAGAAAAAAGAAATTAACAGCATGAAAACCCAAAGCACACATCTTAAAAGAATCTTAATAGAGGAAGTTGAGGATAAGTTGTCCATAAAATGGAGAGGTTCCTTCTGCTCCTGCTCTGCTACAGGCAAAGCTTTAACTGCTTCACACAGTTTGCTAAACCAGCCTAGAGAGAATACTGCCCTGAGTACTCCCACTATGGCTCTTCTTACTACTATATTTAGCTAAATAAAAGATTACGCCTCAGAGATGACATTTCAGACTGAAAGCTAGCATGCAACCCACTCAAATTACTTCTCTTAGCAACAGAGCTGCCGCTAGGATTTGCCGGACCGCACAGTCTGTTTGAGCAGAGATAGAAACACTCCTGGCAGTGTTGTCATCTGGGAGCAAGAACAAGGTGCCAGTTACTGAAGCACCAGATTATCAGACCTAAATTCATTTCACAATGTAGAGAAGGAAAAGAGACAGTCATGGATGACTGAAGTTTGAAGGAAACATATGCTTGCCCCATTGATGGGGCTGGGGCACTAGGCTGCAAAGTTGCTGCCCAGAGTCTGCCTGTGTGCTACAGATCCAGGTTTGAGGAAGTCAGTCTGACACATCAGCAAGCTCAATGCAGCCAAACTCTCTCTATAACTGTGTAATTAATCCACACAATGGTAATGAGCCACCAGCTAGTCCTAGTGTACTCTGCAAATCATGGCATCGCAGACTACAGCAGGACTATGTACTGGGGATAGCACATTCAGGCTAGAAGAGAATTATGGGAAACTCATGTTGGATTTTTTCAGTTTCTCATAAAATAATTTGTTGCACATATTTCTGATCCGCAACCAAATGGAAACATTTATTTTCAGCATATACTAACTCTACCCAGCCTGGACTGACATCACACCCTGGGGAGTGAGAACACTCATGCTTCTTCCTCCACAAACAGGGGACCCTGGTGAGCTATGAGCTACAGCAGTTCATTCTCCTTAACCCAACCACAGCCAAGCTAAGCCCCTGAGAACGCCCACTGGCTGCTCCAGCTGTGGTCAGAAAGGCACCACAAATGCTTCTCATGAGGCAGGTTGGTGCGGAAGCAGCAGCTTGCATTGTCAAAACTTCACAGACCTGACAGAAGTGACTTAGGAGGCAAACAAGGGAAACTCTCCAACTGTTTCAAACAAGGAGTCTTCTTCTGATTAGGTGAAGCACTGCAGCACTTAAGCAAGTTATTATGGAAGACACTTAGCTTGTCACAGGCTTGACAGGGAAAATGGGTTAGTTCAGGTGGGACTGGTTCATTAGAAACTGTAAATACTTCTAAAGCCACATGAGCTCCAAGCTTTGGGCCTGATATAGAAAATTGTGCATTCAACCATTAAGAATGGAAGATGCAGCTAAGGGTTTTGAAGCACAAGTTCTTACAGCAAACATTAAAAACCATTAAAGCAGACTGCAGCGTGCATCCTGAATTGACAAGCTTTCGCACCAAGGAGGCTACACTGGTATGCAGTCTTAGGAGAATCTGTAGCTAATTGAGCAGAGAGGAGAACAGAAAATCTGCAGGTACCAGGGCATCGGTCTGTAGCTCAGGTTGTTCCCCCTCCAGTGATGTGGTTGTGACAGTGAGACTGACTGAAGGAGCAAGGCCTGATGTCTCGCACAACACTTGCTCAGTCTTTATTGCTGATGGAGTAAGCTCTGTAGCCAGACACCATTCCTCATTTTCCAGGTCACCTGCCAGGGAAGGAAATTCGACACCACATGTTTAGGTCAGAGACAGAAAGACTACAAATGAAAATAATGACAGTCCTCCTCCAGAGAAGGGAAACAAACACAGAAGGCTATCAACAAAACCCTGCCCTTACTATTCAGCTCTCAGTCAATGCAGACAACCATGCCATTTCAGGGCTGTAACCTAATCCTAGCCCCAGGATACGCAGAGGAGCAGTGAGGAAAGACACGGGACACTAATCATTGCCGAAAGCTGCTTACACGTTGGAGAACAAGACTAAACAAGCCATTTGGTAAAGCAGCCAGGGAGCTATGTCCTACACATGCTAATGCCTGCTGATTCAGTTTTATTCCTCCTTGTAGAGATAGCATTTAGCCAGTTCTGTTCCTTCTACTGCTTGCAATCATCAAATAGCTGGAATGGTGATACTATACTTTTAAAACCAAGAGATTTTTCATACTTTTAACTTCAAATTTTTCTCCCAAGGATTCATTTAGAGAGTATAAAAGAGGATAAAGGCTTTGATGATCTCACAGGAGCAGCAATGCTGTGGTGATCATGCTAATTTCCTCCCATGAGCCTCCGGAAGTCACAGCATGGGATGCATATTTTGACTGGCAGCAATGAAACGTGCATCATGCACTGGCAAAATTGTCCCTTAGCTCCACTTACTGCAAGCTTAGTACTCAGAAGGAAGTCAGGCAACTCTTCCCTGAACAAAGCTGAAAGGTTTGCCTTGCACTGTCAAGAACTGGAAGATAGCTGGCATGGTAAGTTGGTAGTTTCCATTCATGAAACAGCCACTGTTTGGCTTGCTGAGAAGGGACGTACTATCCCAGGCCTAAAATATGATAGAAGAGGAACTCAGAAGATCTCAACTTTTAAAACACTCCTACAAGGCTATTAACAACCCCACTTAAAAAAGATTAAAAAAAACAAATGCATTTTTGGCAACTGTAATTCTGACTTAAAATTATTCCCATCCCTACTGCCAGACTTCAGTCATATGAATTATTTTCTCTTGCAGAAGAGTACCCTATACCAGCTGTACTGCATCCCAAGAGCACACAGCACATTCCTCTGCTACAATTCGTCAGTAGTTGTGGGAGCACATTAAATCGAGCAGCTGCAATCTGAGGCCAAATATACACAAGAGATAAGAGTGTTGATCTTTTTTTCTTTCAAAGCTTTATTCTGCTTTCAAACAGAGTATTTACTGCATATATGGCATTAAAGCAGAGAGCAAACACGTACACCTTAGAGCTTTGAATTAACCTCATGCTGCATCAACACTGTGGGAGGCAGCCATGGTGCTGTGGCTGTGCCACCAGCAGTCTGCAAGGCTGACACAAGACCCTTCCTTACACATCTAAGCCTATGAAGCTGGTGAGGTGTCAGCAGAGTTCAGCCGCAAACAGGTAACAAAAATAAGAGCAGGCTTACACCCTCCAAGCTGTTAAGACCACACACATATAGGGCACACAGGCACTGAGCAGAAGCTGGGTGACTGGAAGAAGGGAGAAGCATGTACATCTCCAGTGCTAGCAATTACTCTGTGGTGAGATCGAACCTCCACCGCTGGCAAGGAAAGAGGTAATTTGAGTAAAGACACACCAAGGAATTAAAATGAAAAATATGTATCCTGTAATCAGAAGCTCAAGAACAGCGAGCCCAGCTCTGCCAAGAGAAGTGCAGCAAGGGGCAAACACCGTATTTAAGTTTCTGAAGAGCTTACTCCCAAAGCTTTCTGGGAAATCTAGATATATAAAAATAGAAGTATTTATGAAAAAAAGAGGTAGCATTGTCTAAATATTAACTCAGGAGAGAGGACATTGCTCTCTTTCAACCCTCCCTGAGCCTCTCTACTCACAAACAAGAGAGCGCAGGTCACTCCCTCCTGACTGCAATGAGCTATTCAGTGGACCTGTGGACTACCCGTACCTCACTGTGTGAGGATCATTCAGATAAAAGCTTTAAAGTGGTATCTTTGCCTGGAAATCCAGAATGCCTTGGCAAGTGCAACTTTAAAACACTTGTTTGGATAACTTCTGCCAAAATCTCCACCACATCGTCTTGTGCAGAGCCTCCGCTTGCTTTCTCTTGTACCTCTGGGGCAAGCTACACATAGCAATGCGATCATCTGTAATCTACTTTAGATGCCCTTTGGGAAGGAAGGTTACATATAAATGAGAGCTATCAGCAAAGCAAGTAATTAGCCCTGAAGTTTCTGAAATTTGTACCCTCATGCAAGTAGAAGAGAAATCTAGCCATGGATGCCCAGTGAAACAGGGTATGTCCTCTAAGGCTGCACTTTGTGATGTTTGTCACCTCTAACTCACAGACTCATCACGAGGATTCAGCTGCTGTAAAACTGTAAGATATGCAGGCCTTCAGCCGGTCATTTTAGTCCTCTGGAATCTGACTTTGCTGATTAAACTGACATCCCTGCCATCACCACTTAGATCCGCACAAACTGCTTGGAGTTATTCTAGGCTTGAAACCCAGTCTAACCAGTTTGTAAGGTTATGGATGGCTTTCAGCGACAGCAACACATTGCATTTAACACCAAAATAATTTTGAAGAACTGCATCTAACACTTCTTTGACACTGCCTGTTATGATGCATTGTGACAGCTTTCATTCCAAATGAATAACCCCGCGAAAGGTAGGGACGAAGCAATACACTGCTGGAATCCCACCTTGACACTCTTCCCCTTCCTACTTTTTCTCCTCTCTGCTCTAAGACAGCTACCAGGACATTTCTCACTCTCCTTCCTTTTCTTCATGAGCACAGCGTGTTGACATTATTTGTAAATCATTCTTAGTTTACTCATATAATACCCCATAGCACCTTAGTCTACTCTGCTAAAACCAGACAAATTCAGGAAAATGGGAAAAATTAAGCAGGATATAGAATACTGGTCATACCGAGAGGCAGAGCACACCCTCTCCAAGACAAGAGTCAGATAGAGGGGTATGGGGAACCATCAGAGAGGCTTCATGGAATAAAGGGGCCAAGCAAGAAGGTGTTCATGAAATACTGAAATGAAAGGACAGCGGCTGGCTCAAGGGACCCACTGGAGGAAAAAAGAAAGACATGGTATGGAAAGAGTAGATTACTGGTGTTGATCAATTACAGGTGTTTATTTTTGACATGATCCTGAACTGTTAAGACTGTCCAGAACAAAAAACAGAGAAAATTATCTTGGTGACAGTATTCTAGACAGATATGAATAGAGTAACACTGCATTGCTAAGATGAAGCAAAACATGCCTGCAAACCATTCAGATACAGAGGGAAGAAAGCCTAACCAAGAGATTTATCTATCCAAATGGCTAGGAAAATCCACATCCTAAAGGTGGCCACTTTGGCTGGTAAAAATCTCTTCCCAGGCTTCAAAACACTGATCCCAAAGTTCACTGCTGAACAAGTGATGCAGGCTGCCAGTCCCCATTCCCAGCTGAAACTTCCCATGGACTTCAGAGCTCTATCATGCACTGACTGTTTAGAGGAGAATTCTCATTTCTTATCATTGCATGAGTCCATGAATGCTAGGCATTTTGGCACACAAAATATGGCCTTTAAGGAGTCTACACAGTACTTATCAAAATCTCAGCTACCATTTCTCTGTGCACTGATAAATTTCACATACAAACTATGTTAACTGAACATTAATGTTGCAAAGCACCCAGGTATTAAGAAATACTTATGAAGGTTTAATTCAGTATACTTTTGCAAATTATATATATCTAAAAATAGGAATGTTTTAACAATATTATCAAACAGTTTCTCTATAGAATCTGTGCTTTACCCAACAAGACAAATGCGTGGTGCTCCCCTAACTGGGGAGTTATTCCATGCTTTGTTATTCTCATGGTCTCATGCACAGCCTCATCTCTCCTTTACCCAATACAATTCAAATTCTCTCCCCACAGGGCTGTTTAATTCCCTTCTAGGGAGATGCTTCACAAACCTGAATTAATTTCCACAGAGATCCTGAAAAATCAAGTAAACCATGGAGAAATTTAGGCCAAAAAGTATCTAGTAATTTAAAATGGCTAAATGGAGATAACTGGAATTGGATTTTTCAAACGATTTAGCACTGTTGTTATACTTTATCAAAATACAGTATACATCGAATTTTCAGGTGCGGCTGTGAACACTACCACTTCTGGAAGTTAAACATCAGAGTTTCAAGCCAAGCATCCAGACAACCCATTCATCACGGCAACCCAGGGTGACACATGCATTTAAGATCCTGTCTTCTGTGTCTGTGTCTAAGATTACATTCCTTCAGAAAGCTTGTGTGCTGCTTCCATTACCAAGATCATCCCACTTTTCCTGCAGACTCACATTTAGTATGCATCTGCCACTTAAAACACAAAAAACAAAAACCAAAAAACCAAAACCCCAAAATGTAGGAGCTTTACAAAGTGACAAAATAAGTGCAATCAGTGAACTGAGGCAATGTTAACACTGATAGGAAAAGCTTTAAACACATCCTTTCCCATTTGCACTCCTTGCAAGTCCAGCTTGGTCCCAGATACAACATGCGGTATGTTCTAAAATGCTGTGCATGAGATAATGCAAGAGGGGAAGCTCAAAATAGGACATATTTACCTCAGAACTGTAAGTGTAAGCACTGCACATTGTGCTTATCTACAGCAAGGTGTCCAAGTACCAAACTCCTGTCCTCTGCTTTTGTTTCCTAATCCTGCTGTAGGTTCCACCATCTGCTGTTAAGATGGGCAATGCTAGCAGGATCTGCTCAATATACCACAAGCTGACTTTCCCTTTTCTTTCTCCAGATCACTAAACCCAAAAGAGAAAAGGCTATGCAACATTCTGCACAATGAAAACTTAAGATCTTTAAAGTCCATTATGAAGGCTGAGTTATACACTTGGATTTGGGTGCACAACACACCCAGGTCAACTTCTTTCTATGCTGCCCACCATAGACATTATGATGATAGTTTTCAGTGGACGTGGATTTCAGTGCTCCT